TTGCTAGGAGGCCAGGATTTGATCTGGAGGTGACCCAAGGCTCTATCTCTTGCCTTTCTGCTGGAAAATCTCAAGGCAATTATTCCCCTAAGAATTCTGGCTTCTGGGCAGGAAGAAGAGAATAAAGTGAGCAGTGGGGAAAGAAGCTATCATTTCCCAGGACTTTTATCCTTCTAATTAAAAGCAGTGGGGCATAATGGACAGAGTGCTAGACTTGGAATCAAGAAGGACTGGGTTTGAATCCCACCTTTAACTTTTATTTTCTGTGCGAATAGCTGCTCCGTGTGGCAGCTGCTCCAGGCAACTCCCTCCAATTTATCTCAAGTTTACTAGCAAAGGAGCAGATTTAGGTTTTAAGATGAAGGAGGAACTTCTCCCAAATTGGAGCTGCCACAAAGTGGAATGGGCTGCCTTAGGAGATAATGAGTTCTTGTATAAGGATGGGTTGGACTGGATGTCCCTCAAGCTCTGAGATCTATGAATCTATGAAGTACAAAGTTATGGAAGGGTTGCATTCTGTATGGGTAGAAGGAGTCGTCCCCCTTCCCCCCGGGGAAGTCCTTATGGTGACAAATTTCCATTATCTTCCCATTAGTACCTATGGGGATCTAGGGAGGCTCAATAAAGGGCTCTCCAGTACTTCCAGTTGACATCACACTGTGGCCCCTCTGAGAAATGTGGTTACAAAAGGATCATCAGTCCATCAAGTCCAGCCCCCTCATTTTATACGGGAGGAAACTGAAGCCTTGAAAGGGAAAGTGACTTATCCAAATGGATCACAAGGTCATAGATTTAGAACTGGAAGAGACCTTGGATACCTTTGAAGCCAACTCGTTCAGTTTTACAGGTGAGGAAACAGAGACCCAGAGAAGAGGAATTACTTAACAAGGTTGTGCATGTATGATGACAAGATAGTAGCTTTAGAGCCAGAAGGGAGACCTCCATGTTAAGGAAAATGAAGCCCAGAGAAGTTAACACAACAATGTAGATTTGCTCTGGGCAAAGCTGGAATTCGAACTCATCCTCTGACTCTGTCTCAGAATCCCACCCCTCATGGGACCACAGTGTCACATGATCGTAAGACTTAGAGCAGAAAGGTATCTTAGAGCTCACCAACCCCAACCTTCCCATTTTATAGATGAGGAAACTGAGTCCAAAAGAGGTAGAAGGATGTCCCCAGGATCCCATGGTTGATAAGGAGCAGAACCAAGGTGTGAACCCTAAATCAAGGCCTCTGTCCATGATATCACTGGAGGAATAGTGAAAAAAGAAGCCAAATTTGGAGTCATTGGACTTTGTTTCAAATCCCATCTCCTCCTGGGTGACCTTGGACAAGTATCTTAACCTCTGAATACTTTAACTGAATTTAATGTTGACCAGGAAGTCTGACAGGGACCTTCTGTGGCCTTCTTTTCTCCAGTGGCAGTGAAGAGGAAGATGAAGATCTGAACAACAGGACATTAGGGCCCTGGACCCTCTGGTTTAGTTTGCAAAAGCCAGTGCATCTACTTCATAATCCATCTTCCCTCCCCATGTCATTTAGAAGGCTCAGGCTGACACATGGGGTCTGCTATCCACATGCCAAGGCAGCCTGGTTAGAGCTGGGGAACTGGCCAATTCACTTGGCCAGCCCCACTCCAGGTGGCAAGCCTCTGGAGAAAGAAAGCATTGAGGAAGCAGAAGACATGAAGGGGACTCCCCTCTTTCTGAGAGTTCCTGTTGTATTAGCAGTGTGTACCCCATGGATAGACTGGTGAAGCCTATGGGCCCCTTCTCAGAATCATGTTTTTAAATGCACACAATAGAATGCATAAGATTACAAATGAACCTAATTGTTTTCATATACAGTCATCAAAATATATATACATATTTTTAAAAATCCAACTTTACGGACCCGGGTTAAGAACCTCTCTTTTGGAGGTTAGCATTTGTAGATGGTAGTTGGAGGTTAGGATGGGATAACTTCCCTAAAGCAGAGTGAACATATGACCAGGATCTCGGGTGATCAGGAAGAGTTTGGAGTTGACCTCTAAGGGAAGAAGGGAACAATTGTCTAAGTAACAGGATCTCCAGAAAGACACAGAGTCACAGAATCTTGGAACTGTAGAGAGAAAAGGCCCTGAGAACAAAGCTGGCAGAGCTAAGGGGGACCTTAGAACACAGAATGTCAGAGTAAGTGATAGGATTGTAGGTATGGTTAGAATATGGAATGTTGGAGATGGATAAGACCTTAGAACAGAGAATGTCAGGCCTTAGAATATAGGATGTCAGATTTGGGAAGGGCCTTAGAACATGAAATGTCAGAGCTTTGAGGGACCTTAAAACATTGAATATCATGCTAGGAGGGCCCTTAGAACACAGAATGTCACCGCTGAGGAGGGGGAGGGAATTCCGCATGTTTCCTCATCTTTCATAAGAGGTGGCTGGTTTAGAAACTCTCTTAAGCTTTTCCAGATTTAGATCCGAGGAGTACTGAATGTCATTACTGTCAGGGACCTTTTGTGGTTCAGTCATTTCAGTCATGTCTGACGTTCCATGACCCCATTTGGGGTTTTCTTGGCAGAGGTAGAGTGGTTTGCCATTTCCTTCTCCAGCTCATTTTACAGATAAGGAAACCAAGGCAAACTGGATTAAGTGACTTGCCCAGAGTCACACAGCTAGTAAATGCTTGAGGCTGGATTTGAACTCAGGAAGGTGAGTCTTCTTGATTCCAGGTCCAGCATTCTATCCACTGTACCACCCAACTGCCCAATCCAACTAGCTCCCTGATTTGACAGATGAGTGAACTGAGCCCCAGAGAAGGGAAACGGCTTACTGACGATGATGGCATGTTTCTGTGGTGTTAGGGTTCAAACTAGCCCCTGTGTCTTTTGATCCCCAGGCCATTGGTCTTCATACCACTCTGTGCCACATGTTGAAGGAAGAGCTGAATATGACCCCAGCTACTCCAAAAGCTCAGCTGCCCTCTCTGTCAGGTTGCCCACCATATCTACTTTTAGTTCTTAAAAAAAAAACTTTCTCAGAAAGTAGTCCTCTTCAGCTCTGTGTAGCAGTTGGAAACCTACCTAGACCTACATTTAATTATCCAGCTAATCAGTCAACAGTCATTGTATCATTCTCTTCCTCTATGGCACCTTGCTCAGTGTTGGGGTTACAAAGAGAAAAATCAAATAATTCTTGCCTTCCAGGAACTTAGGTTCAACAGAGAGGGTACAAAACATACACATATAAGTAGACACAAAATATATATAGCTAAACCATAGAAAGTTGCCTGGCTGGCATGATTTTCCCCCATGCTTCTCTGAACTCATAGCTGCCCATGGATATTCAAGGTCAAGGAGCATTGGGAACTACAGCTTCCCACCTGTTGCCAGCTTTTTCACCTCAGCAATTTCTCTCCATTGTCTATAGCATTTAGGCTCATAGGTGACGCATGAGCTTAGAGGTGAAAGGGACTTAAAAGGCCTTCTAGTCCAACCCTCTCCTATTACAGATGAGGAGCTGAGACATTAAGTGATTTGGCCAAGGTCACAAAATGGTAGGGAACACAGCTGAGGTTTAAACTCAGGTCTTCTGACACCAAAATTAGGTCTCTTTCCACTTTACCATAAGGCCCTTGACTGAGTTATTTGGCCAAGTCTAGTAAGATGACCAGTTGAAAACTGTCCCAGTTTCTTGACTTCTGGTTATTTGGGTCCATCTTAGACATGTAGATGTGTGAGCATGGGGTTCAGAGATGAAGTATAGTCTTTAGCTGGGTTCAGATCCCAGCTTGGTCACTTGTTCTTTGAGTGACTTTGGTCAAGTCTTTTCCCTTCTTGGGGCCTCAGTTTCCTCATCTATAAAATAAAGGGTTTGAGCTAGATGACCTCGAATGTCCCTTCTTGCTCTAAATCTGTGAGCCTATGATTAAGTTACCTAAAAAGAAAGAGGCTTCGAACAAAATTAACTTGTGTCCTACTTATGCCTGAAGGTGGCCATGGCCATCTTGAGTTTGTCTGCTATCCAAGGGATCCAGATACTTGTACAAGGTCTTCCAAAGAGAGAGCAAGATTTTCAGAGCCATCCTTGATTATGAACCACTTATCCAGTCTGACTCTGCATCCTCTTGTCTCCTGCGCATTGTGAAAGCAGAGAAGGCTAGCTATGTGAGGGCAGAGATCTGTGGCTACCTGGATAGTTATGCTCCAATGAGAAGCAGAAGAAATCCAACCTCAGAAGGGGTACATTTCAAGGAAGGAAAGAAAACCACTTAGATTTTGAACATAGACTTAGTGCAGGAGAGAAGGTGGGCTGGTCCCTCCAACTCCCTTTTGAGGGTAGGAGAACAGCAGTTCGGCTCAGCTTAGGGGGAGCGTGGGGACTCTGATGACTGCTACAAGGTACAGTAACAGTGAGCTGGGTGGCAGGGTCTAATATTAGAATGATTGGGTGGTGGTAGGCAGGGATTCACTCTTCTGTGTGCATGTGAGAACATGAAGCCTCATCCCAACCCCCGACCTCCCTTCTCTCTCTTCATCTCACACTCTCTTCTCTCCAGCTCTCACCACTGAGTGTGGTCTCCATTGCTCCAGGAGTTCTAGTCTGTTTGCTTCCTTAATTTCAGATCTTTGGGCTTTTGAGCATGAAGTCCAATTCCTTCATGGGGAAATTGAGGCCTGGAGCAGGGAAGAGACTTGCCCAGGGTCACTTGAGGAGCAGATGACAAGCTAGAATTTGAACTCAGGCTGTCTCCACTTTGGACTTCAGACTCAGATCTCTTTCCATCACACCATACTACCTCTCCTTCTTATTTCTTTTTTTGGGGAAGTGGCATTGCATTCTACCAACTGTGATGGTGTGCCTTCATTTCTGCTCTGCCCAGGATCTGTGTGTGGCTCCCCCCACTCAAGCTCCCCAGCCCCAGCCCCACCTCCACCCCCTCCTTTCCCAGGCATCTTGCAAATAAATCACGGGTGGTAGACAGGCTTGCCTCACCCTGCGGGGGGTGGGGGGGGAAGATTGCTGGTCCTCATCTTGGCTGTTTGCATAGAGCTCTGCAGCAGTGGCGGCAGCAGCTACAGCTTTGGGCACTGGGACGCTCTTTATTTGCCTGCTGCCGGCAGTCCCAGAGAGTTGCCTGTGTGAGCGAGAGAGCAAGAGAGAAGGGAGAAGAGAGTGAACCAGGAAAGCAGAGACAGAACACTGCCTGGCTGTGCTGAGGGCAACCAGAGGAAGCATTTCTCTTCTTGATCCCGTCTCTGACAGCTGTGCCGAGTTTTCCATTGCCACCAACCAGAGATGTAGAGTAGTGTTTCCTTTTTTTCTTTTGGGTCCTGCATGCCTTGGGGGTGGGGGTGGGGGGTGGGCGATGAGGTTGGTTTGGTTTGGAGGTGAGGACAGTGGATGGGTAGATTGTCAATTTTCATTGTAGGGACCCCTGCTGAAGCTCCAAGCTGTTAAATGAGTGATAAAGACACAGCATCTTCCTTAAGACAGAGGGGTGGGCAGAAGGTGTTGGCAGATTAGGTAGCTCTTCCCCTCCCATCCCTCCTTTGGTCCTCAGTGTCTTTCTGTGGGGCAGTGGGCTGGGTTGGATCAGAACGGGGTGGGAAGTGGGGCAGAAAGATTTTAAGGGGGGACGTGATGTGCTTGTGTGTCTGTGTTGATCATGTCTCTTTTAACACATCTGCAGTGTTTTATCACCTGAGAGGCAATGGGAGAGCCCAGGGAGATTATTGCTTGGTGTCCGAGGAGGTGGTGTGATTTCCTCATGTCTAAATATATATCTACATATCTATATACACACACACTCAAAATAAGCTCTTTAAAAGTAAAAGACAGTTCTCAAAATGTGATGAATGAATTAACTGATTGGGTGGGGGAACTGGGAAGTGTAGAGTGAGAGCTACAGACTGTGGTTGGCATGAGAGATGAGAAGATAACCCGAGCCCAGATAACTAGCTGCTTAACCCTTGCCTGGACTTGTGAGCTTAGCTCAGGAGCCTGCCCTAGGGATAGCCCTGTGCGTAAGTTTGTTCGGAGTGGTATTTGTGCTTTTGGCTAGCAGATCAATAAGGTACCTCTCTTGGTGATCGGTGTCCAGATAGACTGCAGAGGAGCTGGATAAGGAGCTTGCCCAGCCCCGGACGAGCCTTTCACACAGAGGGTAGGGAGCCTTGGGAGAGTGATGCTGTCCATGGTTCTACTATTTAGGGAATAGGGCTTGGGTCAGAGTCCGGACAAGGTTCACTCTGCCTTCAGATCGGTTTCTCTTTCTTTGATTCTTTCCCTGACCCTTACCAATGTGGCTGGGATCCCAGTGGTGCAGGATGCACCAGCCTGATTGAGAGAGGAAGGTTGTGGTCTCCTATAACAGAATGTGAGAACCTCAAATTTAATCTGTAAAAAGAAAAAGATGCTATTGATGTGAATCTGTGATTCTTTGAAACTGGGATTTTTTTCTTGTTTCCAACCAACTAATAATTTCAGTCCTTTAAAATAAATGTCCTTATTTTTTAGTGTTTTGGCTATTATCTCGGAGGGTACTTAACCTCCAATCTTTCAGCTTTCCATTTTGGTCTTTGTGGGCTGAAGGAACAGAATACTCAACTCTTGGTGGATGTGAAATGAAGACCAGGCGCATTAATTTTATCCATGCATAAAGCACATAAAAAGCGTCTAATTCCCAGGGTCTGCTGCTGTGTAGGAAGCTTAGTAAGGCAGGCATTCATAGGGAGGATAGAAGTGTGGCCTTGTGGTTAGTGCTGAGCATGGAAAATCAGGGCTCCTGGCTCCTATTCCTGACCTCACCAGTGACTTGTTGAGTAACTGTGAGACTACAATCACAGATCTTGAGTTTTAGAACCTCTTATCTATTTCCTTCTCCCCTTCTCCACTTCCATCTTTGTCCATTCATCCCTGGAGTGGCTGAGATACAAAAGGACCACATCTCCCTCTGTCCCTCCCCCTCCTCCAGTTTAAATTGGTGCAGTGTGGTGCATTGGGGAGAGAAGAAACAGGAGAGGCAGCACCATGTGTACAAAGACTTAGGGGAACTGGATTCCAGTCTCGGTTTTGTCATTTATTCTCTATTCACTTTGGACAAGTTGGTTCTCTTCTTAGGGCCTCGTTGACTCCCCTGTGTACTGGAGGGATTGGATGAAATGGGTTTTAGAGGTCCTTTCTAGTTTGGGTATTCTGAGATTGATTGCAATGCAGACAAGGAAAAGCCAGGAACTCTTGAGAAGATCTGGGTGAATCCCAAAATCTCCATTTGCTTTATTCACACTGCTTCACAGATGCCCCAGCCAACTTGTCTGAGCTGGAGAGTTAGAATCAGGATGCTGTCTCCAGGGTGCTGGTTTCTAAATATTCCATTTGGTCTTTGTCAAATTGTGTATCTGTATCTGCGTACACATGTGTGCGCTCATACACTTATATGTGCACCGAAGAGAACTTGGGATTTCTAATATGAATGAAGTAGACATATGGACAGTCACTTTGCTCTTTAGACCATTCAAGTGGGAAAATGGCCATGAGGTTAGGCAACCTGGGAAATGACATGAAGGCAACAAAAAGTGAGCATGGTTTATTCCTGTTTAACAGCTGTAACTTTAACCCAGGATAAAAATAAACCCTAGTCTTGTACACTGGTGGGCTGGAGTTGATGAATTTAAATGATTCCATTGACACTGAGAGTTGAGAGTTTGGATGGTGCTATAAACAGAGAATTAGGAATTGGTGAGTTCTTTCCCTTCCCTACTGTCCCCCACATCCTTCTTCTGGGTTTTAAGGTCAATGAAACACTTCTGTCCTTCCCTACCTTCTGGAAGCCATCAGAATCTCCCAATCTCTGGTGACTGTAGTGGATGGATTAGACTTTGAGAATTGCTTTCCCTCTTAAATATTGCTCCTGCCTGATTCAGAAAGTATCAAGCAGGGGAAAGGGCACAAGTACTATGGTCCAGTGGAAAGAGTGCTATATTTAGCATCAGAGTACCTGGGTTCAAATCTTGGTTTTGTGCCCCCCGCATGTGACTTTGGGTTGGTCACTTCACATTTCTAGGTCTTGGTTTTCTCCTCTGTAAACTGAAGGGTTAGACTAGATGACCTTTAAGGTCATTTCCAGCTCTGACATGCATTGTTCTGTTAAATAGTCTAAGGTTCTTCCTAGCTTTAACATTTTGGGTTTTAAAGTTCCTTCTGGCTCTCAGTCTTTGATCCTATGATGAAAGCTTCCTTTTTGAATCAGTCAGCAAAAATGGACTAAGTGCCATACTTAATACAAAGCTGTGTTCTAGGAACAATAAGGAGAGGGGGGTAAGATGAGAAAAAGACCTCCCTCCTCTCCTGTCTTCTAGGATTTTACAGTCTCTCAGAAGTGATGAGACACACACACGAGAAGAAATAACTAATAAGAATGAGAAATCACTGCTAGAAGTCAAGTGAGGTTTCCCATTACTGAGTGGGGAGAGGTCTTCAAACAGGTGCTAGATGATTCCTTATTGTGGATGCCATGAAAGACATTCCTGATAAGGTATAGTTTGGCCTGGATGCTTTCACATGTCAGATAATCTATAAAGTCATTATAACAGCACAAGGCCAATTGTCCAAGTAGATTCCATGATTCTATGCCTCTGTGATCACCATCTCCAAATATCTGAAGGGCTGTCATGGGGAGGAATAGATGGATTTATTTTATGAGCCCAAAGGAAGAAGTTGGACCAGTGAAGGGAAGTTAATTGAAAGTTAGATAGATACGATGCCTGCTCAATAAAAGGTAGACTTTCCTGCCCCCTAGAGCTGTCCAACAATGGAATTGGTTGCCTTGGCAAGTGACTGTGTTGTCCTTGGTGGGGTTTAAGCAATGACTGGAAGAGTTTCTTTGGGCTATGGTAAAGGGAACTGACTCATACTTCAGGTTGAGGCTGAGTTAGATGACCTAAGGATATTGTCTGTCTCTGATGCTCCCTTTGTGACACGGAGTAAGTCACTTAATCTCCTCATCTGTAAAATGAAGGGGCCTCACTCTATCAGAGCTCCCTGATCCAGTGAGTGACATAGCCAAGACATTCTGCAAGAAGTCAGAGAAGTGAGGCATCACTTGGGCAGTGGTGGTACAATCAAGGAAGGTTTCGTGGTGGAGGTGTGACTTGAACCAGCTTTGAAGGTTTGGTTGAGGCTGGATAAGTGAAAAGGAAGAAAGAGGGGCTTCCAGGCAGAGGGAACAGTGTGAGAAAAGGTGTAGAGGCAGGAAAGTTAAGGCAGGGGGTTCAAATATAGATGCAGTGGTTGAAAAACCTTACTGGAAAATAGCAAACAGTGGCTTCAACAATGACAGTGTTAATGGTTTCCTTGTCACATCACCAGCAGACGTCTGCTCCAGAATTCTATTCCTATAATCTACTTGGACAATTGGCCTTGTGCTGTTATAATGACTTTATAGATTATCTGAATTTTAAAAATAAAATGACACACTGTTATTGTAATGTGCCTGGCTCAATGGCAGTGGAATTATACCAGATTCATTTGAGTTACAGAGATAAAGTAATAATAATACTAATGATAATCATGATAGTAACAACAACAACAATAATATCATGTCAGATTTTCTGGAGAGGGAGCATGGGAACGTGGAAAGAGGTTGATGCTGGACACAAAAGATATGAGTTTGACTCCCAGTTCAGATGTGTACAACAAATCAAATTCCTTTCTATGGCCCTTGGGACGTCCACAAAATGACAACAATAATCACTGAATTAATCCCCTCATGGAGTTGGGAGTGCTTTGCAAATCTGAAAGTACCATATAAATATTGGCTATTATTACTATTGTTACGTAAGTGTGGGCTGTGTAACTCATCTCTATGCACTGAAGTAGGACTTTACCTGAAGCAATCCCAATCATTTGATCAATTTACCTCAGAATAGATCCCAGAAGGGTCAAAGGGAGGATGTAGCCAGTAAAAAATGTGGCACCGATCTTTAAAGCCTTTTGTAAAGAGCATGGGAACGGGGAGGGTAAGGAGATCTGGGCTCTAGGTAACAATAATACGGCCTGCAACTTAGCAGCCACATGAAAGTGGGAAATTTGATTCAATGAATCTTTGTTGGGTACCTACTGCGTGCAGAACACTGTGCTATGTGTGGAGGGTGAGAATACAAAGTTTTGATAAGACAGTCCCTTCTGTAATGGAACCTAAGGACCTAGTGTAGTGCCAAGAGTGTTAGATTTCTAGTGTATTTACTATCGGTGTGACTATGGGCAAGTCACTTAACCACTTTGGGCCTCTCTTTCCTTTTCAAT